TCTCGACGATTTTGACCACTTCGAGGCAATTTCTAGAAAGGTAACCATTCTCGGCAAATCTCGGGCATCCTCTCAATACAATGAAAGGGGGGGGGGGGTTGAGGCTCGAGCGTGCACACGGAAGGGGTGTGCGCACGACGCTGCTCAAGAGCTCGCCGAGTCGGGCACGGTCGGGGGGGCGGGTATGGCAGCAGTGTGTGCTAGGCCCCTTTGGGCAGACCGGGCTGGATTCGGGTCCAGCGAGGGTAGGGTAAGAGGCGCTACTCGCGCACCCAAGGCGCGTGGTGGTCCATGTCACCCAAGATCGCGCGCGCAGACGCCTCGAACTTCGCACGGCCACTCGGGGCTCTCCAGCTCGCGTTGAGCGCCGCCGGCCTACGTTGTGTCAGACTGTCGCTCGGTGTGCGGGCGTGTGTGTGTGTGTGCGGGCGTGTGCGGGTGTGTGCGGGCGTGTGCGGGCGTGTGCGGGTGTGTGCGGGCGTGTGCGGGTGTGTGCGGGCGTGTGCGGGCGTGTGCGGGCGTGTGTGTCCCTTCTCGATTGTCCGTAGTTTGCGAGTGGGATGGTTCCTAGAAGGTTCCTAGAAGGTTCCTAGAAGGTTCCTAGTTTGCGAGTGGGATACGGAGCCTGTAGTGTGAAGGCACCCGGGCTCAGGGTGTGTGTCTTCAGAGCAGCACCGCGTGCATACGAGGCCACGACATGCAGCGGGTGTGTAGCAGAGTACAGCGGGATGCAAAGGAGTCTCCTCTCGCGTGCTGGTCGGAGCACGCAGGGCTGTCTGCTAGGAACCTTCTAGGAACCTTCTAGGAACCTTCTAGGAACCTTCTAGGAACCTTCTAGGAACCTTCTAGTCTGTCTGCCGCATCTAGGGCGGGAGAGAGTGGGGAGGCAGATGGGGGAGATGTGGGGAGAGATGGGTGTCGTCTCCCGCATCTAGCGGGGCTTCGGACGGCTCCTCGGGAACGCCGATCCGGGGGAGACACGGGGAGAGGCTCCGCATCTAGGGCCAGTGTGTGTGTGTGCCATCTCACTGAGGCGGGCATATGGGGAGAGGTGGGGAGAGGCTCCGCATCTAGTGGCCGCCCGCCTCAGCAGGTGGTCCGGCCGGAAGGAGGTCCACCCTGCGCCAGTCACGCTGCTGATGGTGGCGTAGTTGAGCCTCACCACGTCCTCTCGCTCGTAGTAGCCGCCCGGGTTGGCGCTGTCGGAGGGAAGGGCGCGCCCGAGGCCGCGCCACGCGGTCTCGTCGCTGCGAGAGCCTGCGAGCGCGACGTGACGCTCAACACGTGAAGACGCGTCGGAGGCGCGAGAGATGGCTTTGGTGGCGGTGCCGTGGCTCAGGCGCGGTGTGCGGTCGCCACGGAGTGGTGTTGCAAGCAGCCGTGAGCGGTGCGGATCGTCTCTCTTTACGAGCGGGGCGGCCAGGAGGCACCGTTGCGGAGCATTGCCGCGATGATCGAGGTCGTGAGTGAAGAGCCGCTGCGGCTCATGCCCATCACGATGATCTGGGAGCGAGCCCGTTGGCGGCCCTCGGGGCCTCGACATCGGAGTGTCGATGCCATAACGCGCTCGCTCCAACACTGCGACAGCTCGTCTGCCAGGTGTGCTGGCTCCTTCACGGCCAGCACGGGTACAAAGAGGGGTACCCGGCCGGAGAATCCCCAGGCTGCGGAAACGTAGTGTCGCTCAAGACACAAACAAGAGGTGCGATACTGCGGGGGAGTGTAAGGTGCCTATATGGGCCCCCGGAATGTGTCTCAACAGAGGGTGCTGGCTCCTTCACAGCCATCTTGTAGGTGCCTATATGGGCTTCCACTACCTCCGTTTCGGGCTGCCTGGCTGCGGCGGCCGTCACTCCCCGACAAATCCGTCGCTTTTCCGTCACTTGGAAGCCGGGAAAGTTCGCGCAGCTGACGGCTTCCAAATGACGGTCTTTGGAAACTTCCAAGCAG